TTTCCTTTCAAGAGTACCTCAGCACTTCATTTCTCCTATGACAAACAATGTGTCTGGCCCAAGTGGTACCTGGCCCTGCTCATACCATTCAGCATACTCTGAACCTCATTTTCTGTAATGGATAGAATGTGATCTGGGAGTGGAGGAACTATCTATAGTTTTGCTGTATGGACAAATGATGATGTTTAGATTTGCTGGTGATGTTTACACTTGCTGGGATTTAGACCTTCTGCATGGTTCAAGAACCCATCTAATTTTTTTTTTAAATCTATTGTAAGTTCCTTGAGTCCTGAACTGGGATGATGATGATGATGATGTCGATGATGATGTCAAAGGGCCCCAGCACTTCAATCACTACAGCAACACTGGGTATTGACATACATATAAATACATAACCAGAGCAGAATAGGAACCAAACAAAGCAGAATGATGGGCTTTAATCTGTAAGCATTTTAAAAAAGAAAGACATTCACCTTGAAGGCTTCAGGTCTAATGCTTGCACTCTGGATCATGTTAAACCGAGCATCCAGTTGTACAAGGGCTTTGGGTAACACAGGCAGGGAAGTCAGCCTGTTTTCTGGGACAACAAGCTCTTGTAAAGAGGGCAGCAGCTGGAAAGAGTCTTCGTCCACCGAGGAGATAAAGTTGCTTGTCAGGTCAATTCGTTTCAGTTTTTCTGGGAAAACAATTTTGGGATGAAATCACACATGCATTTTCAGGAATCTTTTGGAAATTAGTTAATGTGCATTATTTCTGTTCACATGGCATACATTAACTATTTTATATGAGATCACACAACCTTTAAAGTGAGCAGAAGAAACTGTCCAACTTGCCTACTCACATATATTGGATATTATTGCCCTGGGCACATAAAGAGATGCAATATCATCTTTGTGGCATCAATTTTCTGCCTGTAATGAACCAAGTGTCATTAGCTTCATTATCATCCTTTTGCCCCTTCTGTTGAACTTTGGTGAAAATAGGGCACATCTACAGTGGCCAGAATATTCTGGGCTGCTACCAAAATATTTTGGTCCCAAAGCTGCCCCAAATTACCCCCGTTACCTCCACATTCTGGAATGACACCAGATACCTATTTACACAGCATCTCGGTGTACCACCTCACACTGCCACTGCTGGTGTGGCTCACTTCCTCTTGAGACCAAAAATGAGGTGCCCAGCTTTGATCACATGGCTGGGCACCTCATTGTGGGAGTGACCAGTACCAGAAGCAGTGGTGCTGGGTGGCACAGCTCTTTGCCACCCAGCATCACTCCACAGTACTCTGGATTTTCCTGGAAAATCTGAAGCAAAAGGTAATTTATGAAAATTCAACAAGGCAAGGATGGCCTAGATTTGGTGAGGAACTGGCCTTCCAACATGAAGACAGTCCACACTTGAATCAGGGCTTGACTCTGTGTCATCTGGATAGGACAATGTGAAGATGGTTGTGGGGGTGGGGAGAAGCCAATGTAACAGCAATAGCTATAGCAACTTCATTTATATACCACTTCATATAAGCAGCCTCTAAGCAGTTTACAACTGTAAGCTAATTGCCCCCAACAAGCTGGGTACTCATTTGAGCGATCTGGGAAGGATGCCAGGCTGAATCGACCCTGAGCCTCTGGCCGGGACTGAACTCACAACCTTGTGGTTTGTGAGAGAATGACTGCAGTATTGGCATTTAACCACATAGTTATTGGGAAACCTTATCAATTTAAAAGATGCTTTGTTAGTTTATTGTTTTAATCAAAACATTGCTATGCACTAGGGATAGAAAATATTCAATCAGTTGTTGAAAAAAAGGATTTCCTGAGTGTCAGACAACCCTGATGAGAATTCCTTGGTGTTCAGAACCTTCACAGACTTCTTTGCATGAGAAATTCCACCTATTGTTTTTGTTTTTGGTGTTTTGGTGCAGAAATCTTGAAAATATGATTTTCTGCTCAGAAAACAAGATTTCTCTGCAGAAAAAAAATTCTAAAGTAAATAGTTTTTGGAAAATTGGAAAATTGCACAGTTTTCAAAGACTTTCTCACAGTAGTAAGAAGGAAATTGCCAAAATCACTTGTTGGTTCCTTGGAGAACAAAATTAGCAAAGACTTATATCACTACTACATTCAAAATAGTATTTTAACTGTTTTATAGTATTGTATTTTAAATGTTGGTTTTATGTGTTTTCAATTGTATTTTGAATTTAAATGTACTGTACCCTGTCTTGAGGCTTGGGGAGAGGCAGGAAAGAAATAACATTATTTATCATCGTCATCAGTACTGATGTTAGGGATGAGCAAGAGTTTTAATTAATTAATTTTCTGATAAGCATTTTCTAAAATGCACCAATTTCAAATTACTTCATGAATGCAACAGAAAAAATGAAGTTTTTTTTTTTAAAAAAAAGCTAGACAAAAACAAAACGAGTTGATCCCTTGTGCTCTCTTCCAACTCTATGATACTATGATCCACCTAGTCTTTGAATGTACAGCTCTTAAAATATGGAGTTTGAATTCTAGTGTATTCAACCATGTTTGTAGTGTTGAATTCAGGATTCCTGCTACTTTTGTCTGATAACATTCTCATCCTTAACATCTGTATGACAGGGAGGTGGAACATGGGCTCTCTGTATTAGGAATGTCTATACTTATTGAATTTGAAATGGTGAAAATGAATGAACCGATTATTCGATTATCTAGACCCATTTCAAACTGGCTTTAGGACAGGCTTTGGGG